CATCACTGTACACATTTAATCTCAATATACAAGTAGTTAATGATGAGATCAGATGCATTAAAGAACCTAGTCAGTGGTGTGTTGAGTTACGCACTGTTTGGCTTTGATATTTACGTCTGTTAAAAGTTTAATGTAAACAAGTTGTTTCGGTGCAAGGTGATCGGCGTGCGTTCAACAACAATGTTGAAACACATTTCGTAAATAAGAAAAACCAAACTTCAAAATATACATCACTTTAAGTGACGACAATTCTTCAACAAAATCAACTTCGTATTACTCCAGGGGCGGTCGGGTAGCCTAGTGGTTAAAGCGTTCGCTCGTCACGCCGAAGACCCGGGTTCGATTCCCGACATGGGTACAATGTGTGAAGCCCATTTCTGGTGTCCCCCGCCGTGATATTCCTGGAATATTGCTTAAAGCGGCGTAAAACCATACTCACTCGTATTACTCCACGTGGATTCCGGGGAAGAATATTATAGGTCCTTTTTTACCTCACACTTGTGAGAGGTGACTGTTTAGGGACAGACACGCTGGGTTTTTTGGTTGTTTTTTTTCCAAGTGCCCCTTGAAGATCCGGGGTAGAACAGGTCTTCAGCAACCCATGTTTGCCAGAAGAGGCGACTATGCTTGTCGTAAGAGGCGACATTTTATGCTTTTTTGCACGACATACACCCTTCACCACTTAGTGAGTGAGTATGGCTTTACGATGCTTTTCGCAATATTCCAGCAATATCACGGCGGGGGACACCAGAGATGGGCTTCACACATTGTACCCATGTGGGGAATCGAACAAGAGATTTCGTCGCGACAAGCGACGCTTTAACCACTAGGCTACCGCACCGCCCATAACATTAGTAGGTACACTTTCTCGACCATGAATAACACACTGCATGCGTCAAACTAGACACTGCAACCCACACGCAGGTTGTCTTCAATTACGAATTATATCTTGACTTGAGTGAGTGAGTGAGTATGGTTTTACGCCGCTTTTAGCAATATTCCAGCAATGTCACGGCGGGGGACACCAGAAATGGGCATCACACATTGTACCCATGTCGGGAATCGAAACCGGGTCTTCGGCGTGACGAGCGAACGCTTTAACCACTAGGCTACCCGACCGCCCCTATCTTGACTTGAAACACAAACATCTTATTCTCTCGCCTGGAACACTAACACTAACACCCCCATACATATATTTATTTACGCAAGGACCCGAAAACATGTTCATATAGCCTATCAAAACTGTGTTCAATCTTACTCCACTTTTTTAATATTAAAGTGAACACATGCAGTATGCATATTAGTTTTGAACGTTTTAACGCATAATTTGCTGTGTCAGATCATAGGAATATTAATATTAAATACCCAAAGTGAGAAATGCTTACCTGAACGTACACTGAACTACCCGTGTCAGTCTATCCGCCATACACATGGGAAAACCCTACTGTGTGTTACACCAGGATAAGTCAAACAAGCCACGCCATGAACCCAGCCAGACAACACGCAAGGGCCCGAAAACACGTTCATATAGACCGATATTAGGTAATAACACGCAGGTTATTTAATGAATTAAAAGGGGAAACAAACTGCCTGTCGATATAGCTGGTGTTTGTACAGTTAAGATCGATGTGGCATGCGACTATGCATATTTAATTAGCCCATATAACGCCTCACGCTACAGATTGTACATATCCCCGCTATACCGCCAGTGTCGAAAAGGAAATCGAAAATCAATCGAATAGAAAAAGAACGGCGTAAATGAAGCGTGGTATTTGTTAAGGCATGTATTTGTTAAGGCATAATTTGTTGGGGCATGTATTTGTCAAGGCATACTATACCTACCGGTTTCGTACCAGCAGTTGTATTGACACGACGGTTATATAGAATCCACATTCCGATGGACGTGTTTGACGACAATTCATCATTTACAAAAGGCGTAAGTGTTTGTGCTCTATAGTTCAATTATCATCATCATCATCATCATCATCATCATCATCATCATCATTATTATTGTTATTATTAATATTATTTTATTTTTTCATTATTATTATTAGTAGTAGTATTAGTAGTAGTATTTTACAGTTTGGCATTTCGATGGACGTGTTTGACGACAATTCATCATTTACAAAAGGCGTAATTATTTGTGCGCTATAGTTCAATTATTATTATCATCATTATCATCATCATATTATTATTATTATTATTATTATTATTATTTTCATTATTTTCATTATTATTATTATTAGTAGTAGTAGTAGTAGTAGTAGTAGTATTAGTATTAGTAGTAGTAGTTTACAGTTTGGCATTGAGCAGAATTTCTGCAGCTCAGACTGGACCCATGGTACACCGGATTGAAAAAGTGAATCAGTCATAAAACCTGTAAATATTCCATTTCCATATGAAACCATACACATTTATGAACTTGCACATAATACCTAATACAATAGCGTACAATCATCCTACATTTAGTGGTTCATTTCTAACACGTACATTTGTATTTTATAATGACTGACAATTTCAAACAAACCTCATGTAAAATAAAGTATTTGCTAGAAGTTCGACTTTGTAAAAATTGAGTTTTGTTCCGACCTTGATTTTTTTCAATATACACTATTGGAATTTGAAGCTGCCTCTTATGACGTCACAAACACTTAACGGACCTAAGGGACCTTTATATATCTATGGTTTAATATTAGAAAGAGTGAGTGAGTGAGTTGGGTTTAACGCCGCTGTTAACAGTATTCCAGTTATATATATCACGGGGTGTCAGCTTAATGTGGGAGGAAAGCCCGAAGTGATGCAGGTCTCAGACGTTAACCACTTCGGTGAAATCCACGAGCACGAGCCTGAGCTAACAGCGTCCCAATCCAAAAGTCTTTAAAGCATTGTGTATGTTTGCAGTTTGACTCATGCTTCTAGTGTAAGCGTCATTGCATTGTTGTAGTTTATGTCGCTAGGTTGTCTTGATGTGTTTCAATGAATACACAGTGGGATGTGCACTACAGCGTTAAAACTGCTTTAATGGACATTAAATATTACATTAGGTTATCTGGCAATAGTGGTTGTGTGTTGGTTGTTGTTTAACGCCCCACATCGCAATATCCCGGCTATATGACGGCGGTCTGTAAATAATCGAGTCTGGACAGACAATCCAGTGATTTACACCATGAACATCGATCTACGCATTTGGGATACGATGACATGCATTAACCAAGTCAGCGAGCCTGACCACCAGATCCCCTACGGCAAGCATGGATGGTGAAGACCTATTCTGACCCGGATCTTCACGGATTGTATTTGGCAATAGACTGAAACAATATGACTGTTGATTTACTATTTTATATATAATAGGTTTTTCGGCTTTACATACAGATGATTGATACCCCAGATAGTTTTACTCCTTTAATACATATTAACATGTCGTTATTTTGAGACAATAACATGTGATTATGTAATATCATATTTTCTCGAAATCCAAAGAATATTGAAAATGCAGTGACATGAAGCTAATGTGGAAGGAACTGGTTAGGTTGTTCATCTATCCATAAATCATTAATAACATCACACTCGTCATAGACATGGAATATAAATTTACTTAAAGATTTACAAAAACATTAACACATTTCATTTTAAACACTTTTTAAAAAATATATGTGAATTTGGTGTCTCTTCTATTCTATAGTCATTATTATTATATATATCCCTACAATCCTTACAAACATGTCCTTGCCATTTAAGTCACACGTCGATTACCAGTTTCAATTAAAATATAAAATGGTCTACCTTCTTTACTTTGATGTTAATAAGAATGCCAGACATGTTTATTACATTTAGCTAGGAATTTTTATTGGTGGCTTGAATATGTACACTATTTACATCACGGTGAACTGTTTACAAAATAAACTGACAAATCTCAAGCTGTTGCTGGAAATCAATAGTTCCATGATTATGATTTAACAAAGATATGCAAGCTCCCAAGAAGCTCCCAAGAAGATCTAAAGTATTTTTAACACAAATAAATATCCTGTAGGAAAAGCTTGATGTAGAATCAGGTCACTTAAATTTTGTCAGCAAATGTTAGGCTTACTCTTTATTACAGGGATATATCTCATTCGGTGTACATTCTTAATACCCCCCAAACACACAACACGTCATACCATTGGTCGGGCTGTCGTGCCGCTAGCGTGACTCACAGATTCGTAACATATGCATGTACCTTACTGTTTTATGGCGTTTTACTTAGGACTCAAGTTAAGATCAGCTTTGGGATGGGATAGGATAGGTTTTGAGTAATTGCCTTGCGTTGACCTTCTATCTCACGCAAGTTGCTATACTGAACTGATGCTGTCTTAAAACGCTGACTAAAACATGCTCTGTCTAAAAAACACCGATTGATATTGGTTCGTGTGAATATGCGAATCATCGAGTGGACTATTGATTCTTACTGTACGTCATATGTGAAAACTCTTGTAGCACAATAGTGTAGTTCAGTATACAAATATCACCTGGCAAGCATTCACGCCTCCAGAGGTTGACAAACACCTGTAGATTACCGCTTGGATATTAATGTTACTTGAGCGTACGCCTTCTGTTATTAACTGAACGATGCATCTCAAAATAGATAGATATAACATATTTACATAGAAGGGTACATGAACACGTTAGTCTCTCACACATACACACACCCGTCGGATACCCGTTACCGATTACACGGACGGGCTGAGCATGTTATGCCAGACATGCGTCTCTAATCCGTTACCGGTTGATCTGTTATATCCAGCACATGATAACAGTGGATTTCACGATTACAAATCTCATACATATCAACACCGCCGTGAACAAGGGAATACCTTTATGCCTACACGAAACTAACCGAGCTTGTCTGAAAAGCTTCCATCCCGGTACTGCCCGAACGCGACCTACATATCTACCCGAAACACTAGCTATATAACAACGCTTCTAACACATAATGTCATCATCGACATGAACCGGTGTCTTACCTGTCGTCGAAATGGTTCCCGCAGTTACAATGTCCTCCGCTGCCCGACAGTTGCCGGTGAGATTGAAGACATGCCCTAGAAATTCCTTGGTCTAGAGCTAACGAGTGAAGGTATCCGTGACAAAGCTCAAGTTACTCGGGTGGGGCAGTGTCTTATTGTTCGAGAATCATCCACCGTGTCACTCTTGGTATATCTTATGCCTTCCCGAGTGACGTTGTACCCAAAGCGGGGTTGTGAAATACTTTCGTGCCACCTAGGACTTCAAGGTTGGCCGAGCAGCGATTTTCTTTCGGCGTTGTTTATACTATGAGTGTTTATCGTGGGCTATCCTTCAGGGATGCAGAAAAAGTGCCGACCATCGATCATGAATGTACATGTAAAAGTCATGGACCATTATCATAGAGTTGTGAAGTGTGACATGTTAATGAACTCCGGGTATTCCAAGACCGTGTTGATTGTTATACCTTCGGAGGACATTCGCTCCCCCCCCCCCCACACACACACACACACACTCTTCAAAGTCCCAACCCTGCACACACACACGCACGCACGCACGCACACATACTAATGAAATTATCATATTGATATAACAATTATAACGAATTTAAAGTACATTAAATACAAAATGATTATATAAAATATTAGTGATTTGTAAAAAAATGATTTTATATATGCAAATTTAATTGAAATAATGCATTTGAAATGCAGTTTTGTTTTGTTTTAACAGTGACGTCACAGTTATCAAAAAAAATAAAATCGGGTGGCCAGACTTGCTGACTTGGTTTAAGCATGTTATCGTATCCCAATTACGTAGATCGATGCTCATGATGTCAATCACAGGCTTGTCTGGTCCAGACTCGATTACTTACATACCGACGTCATATAGCTGGAATGTTGCACGGTTAAACAACAAACAAAAGAACAAACACATTTAAGTCTGCTCTAAGAACAAAATCATTAGGACCAGGGTGCCGTTGTAGAAAGGGATTTTAGCACTTAGGTGATCGCAACTCCGATACTTTAATATAGACTTACGAGCATCGTAGCGTTAAGATCCCTTTGTACAACGGCACTCTGGCCATGGGACCTGCCCTAGCCCTGAATCCCCACGGGGTGTACTACACGGTATCAGGGGAGGTACTATTAGAGCGTGTTGCTGTACAAAATAAAATATTAATAGACCAGTGTCTTAAAGGGGAAGTGTACACGCAAAAATCACTTTCTTTCTTTTTCTAAACAAAACGCAATTTTAGAATTAATTAGTATCTGTGTTTGAAAATATACACTAATTTTCACAGTGAAAGTAGGAAGCTCACAATAGTGTTAAAATGATATGCCGTTATGAGGCCTTCGTTTTACGAGCGAAATAGGTCTGAGTTATCCCCCTTAGATTATGACGAAATTGGTGCCAATTCAACTGGGTCCCTGTCTATTCTCAACGCAAAAGATATCAAGGACCAGTTTGCGGTAAAACAACATGGTCTACGACACATTCCGGCGCAGTAGTGACTCAGCATAACACAATTCTGGCTGACATCTGAGACGCTAGAATCACAAAACTGTACCTACACCACGTGAAGCGGCTCTAACAAAGCATGATGACGTCATAATGTTTATCAATTGGCACCAATGACGTCATATTGCAAGGGGCATAAGCCATGGTGTTTTTGTTATGGAAATAGAACACTTGGTAAATGTGAAAAATATAAATCGTTTTAATGCAAAAAATATGTTAATTAAATATGATGTTTTTATATTTTTGTCTATGACACTTCTATGTTAACACTTTTAATGTGGAAATAGTACAAGGAAAATTGGTTCATTTCCGTGTGAACTTGCCCTTTAACGTACAGGCGGGGTGAACTGTTGTTAGGGTTGTTATACGATTATATAGAGTCTTTGAAAATGCGAAGCTACTTCCTAAAAGATCCTCACAAAGGAGCGATATCTAGAATGTTAGTTTAAACAAAAATATATATTTGAAAGTTCTACAAAATATTTTAATAAATCATTCATCCTATTAAACGTTGAGATATCCAAACGTTATTTGTTAACGAGTATTGCACTTCGTAACCCACGGAGCATGCCAGGGTATTAATAGTTAATCGCTGTGTTACCGATAAACATGTTTTATGTCAAAAGGTGACGGAGAAAAGTACTCTACACATTAATACTAATAGGCCTTTTCTTTACACATTAATACTATTAGGCCTGTTCTTTACCTTAAATCCAAGAAAGGATAATGAGCGAGTGAGTATGATTTTACGCCGCTTAAAAAATAGTGCAGCAAGAAAGGAATTCTTAATCACGAAAACCTTAAGCGCGTCTAGAGTTTTAAATGGCACGTTGTATGTGGCTCATTCCCGCCACCATCCCCCGCCCCCAATAAAAAATAATAAATAAATATAAAATAAATAAATAAATATATAATCGGCGTAGGTCGTTGTGCATCAACTACTGGATTGCGTAATCCAGACTCGTCTATGCTCGTCGATACGCGTTGGATATAAGTACAATACCATTTACTGCGACGTCACTTACGCTAGCAAATCATTGTATCAACATACGTAAACATAAAGACGATACAACCAAGGTAACAGCAAACATTATACAGTAAACTACGGTTATGACGAACTCAAAGGGACCACCAATCTTAGTTCGTAATAACCGTAGTTCGTTATAAGCATATATACAGCATATACGCAACAAATGGCCGGGACTAAAAAATAAGTTCGTTATATCGGTCAGTTCGTTATAAGCGTGTTCGTTATAAACGTAGTTAACTGGATTGAAAATGTGTCAAGCTAATAATGATTCCCCTACACCAAGTATAATATATTCAATATGATCAACCCCTATTTCAATCTACTAACCTCATTACAAAACCAGTGCTCCACCCATTCTGGCATTGAATCAGATTGGTGCTGTCGAGACCCGAACTTGCAACCAGTGCATCCCGGCTCCTCCATGACGAGAGCTAGCGTTTACAATATAAGGTTGTAAAAACCATCCCTGGTGCGACGCTTTACTGGAGACAGGATACAGCCACTTGGCCAGATAACATCACGGTCGCTCACAGAAATAGAGCACTTTATGACAAGTTATTGGTATCTGTGAACGTTAACGCTCGCGGCCGGCAGGTTACACATGTAGCGTACATATAGCGTTCGTTATGTTATGCACAGGGAGAGGTCAGCATGACCTGTTATGTAACAGTAAAGCCCTATAATAAGTACTCTACCTCATATAACATTATACATTTTTATGGTAGCACGGTTGCATTATGTAATTGCTTTATGAAAACGATTTTTGCATACGTAAACAAACTGCCGGGTAAAAGAATTTATTTTATTTATTTTGGTAAATAGGATTTGACCCCAAAATTACAAACACTATCGAAACGTTACACGTTACAACACATTATTTTTCAAAACATCCATTATTATCTCTAGTGAACGACATAATTTTTTGTTTGTTGTTGTTGAGTGTTTCGAGCTGGAGAAACTTCGTTCGTACGAACCCCTTCAGTCCGGAAACCTCTCCCACCGGACTGTTACAGGTGGAACGTCTACACATGCACAGAGGGTTATAACTCCATAAACAAGATTCGAAAATCCAGATAGGATTACCGTCCGGATTAACGAGGTTTCACTTAAAATTCCTTGCATGGCAGATGCGGCTTTGATTAATAGGAGAAGATGGCTTGATTAATTAATCATGGTTTTGTGTCGCTTGTATTAGACTTGCATGAATACATATTTTATCTTCCGGAAATTCCTGAGATAGCTTTTTTTTATTCCTGTACATGTCACGCTATGTGGCGTGTTGAGCTGTGTTGTGCAACATGTACTGTCCTGGTGCGACCCGTGAAGATCCGGGGTAGAATAGGTCTTCAGCTACCCATGCCTGCTGTAAAAGGAGACTATGCTTGTCGTAAAAGGCGACTAACAGGATCGGGTGGTCAGGCTCGCTGACTTGGTTGATGCATGTCATCGATCCCAATTGCGTGGATCGAGGCTAATGATATCAATCATTGGATTGTCTGGTCCAGACTCGATTATTTACAGACCGCCTTCATATAGCTGGAATATTGCTGAGTGCGGCGTTAAACAACAAACAAACGAAAAGAATCTTCTGGTGCAGAGGTTAACCTCTCCTGATTGCTCGTCATTAAACATATCATGTTCTTGTTGTCACTTTGTTGTTTCTATTACCTCGTTGTTATATATATATATATTTCCGTGTCGTTAATATTACCGGCCTCCTCCATGGTCTAGTGGTAGAGCGTCCGCACGGAGAGCGTAAGGTCCGGGGTTCGATCCACGGCCGCGTTGAAAGATGGTACTTGTTGTTACCCTGTCTGACTCTCGGCATTAGGGGCTAAAACACGGACTGGTCGGCTCGGAGTCAGTATACTGTGTCTGAGTGGGGTATTCATGTAAAACTGCGGCATGGTATCTCAGTGTGCTAGCACTATAAATCGGTATCAGTCCGGACTAGTACAAGCAGCCACACACACCTGCATGCACGTCGCTATATAAGTGCAATATTCTTGGACGCGACGTTAAACCCCATTTCACCTCACCTCACCTCACTTATTACCATCTCGTACTTTCCACCATCCTATTGTGGTTTACATTCACTTATATCTTTACTGTTGTTGTTGTTGTTGTTGTTGTTGTTTGTACCACCCCGCTGCTATGTGTTGTTCGTATCTTTAGTTATGATATACGTATATCAGTTCGTTGTTTATACCCTAACATTGTGGTTTATATCCTAACATTGTTAACATTTTCACTCTGCTATATTTTCTCTTTGTTAATAATCTCACCATGTTGTGTAATATGTCAATACTTTTATTCTTACTTCTGTTTCGCTTATAAAATAATTGTTTTTGTTGATATTTTCGTTTTCATTTTGTATTCCATTTATCCCATGGTTATTCCCGAAAATGGTTAGGCGGACGTAAACACATATTTAACCTAGGATGTATCTCAAATGTTCAACCCACTTACAAAGCCCCAACCTTGAACCAGCGTCTTTGATCGGGACTAAGTGTATTTTCCCACAGAGTACATTGTGTAGATTCGAAATATAATGTACGTAATTACCATGGTCTAACTGAGACGCATCTGATACACCGGGTGACTGATTTCACAATACAATCCACTCTAAATTACAGGCAAT